GGAAGAGGATGGGGGAGAAAAATTGGAAGCATGTTGGGAAGGGGTTTGATAGGAATTAGTCTCAAATTTTACTGGAGAGACAACATTGAAAAGGATGGAAGGCCTCATGCAGATGAAGATCAAGAAATTTTTCCTCTAGTAAAAGTGGTTTTAAACACAAATTGTACATGTTTCAAGATAGTTAATTTTCTGTATCTGCTTTCAGACTGTCAATGTGTGATCTTGCTGGTTCAGAAAGATATACTAAGACTCGCAATGAAGGTGACAGATTGAAAGAGAGTGGAAATATAAACACCTCTCTCCTGATTCTAGGAAAGTGTATCAATGCACTGAAGAACTGTCAACAGTCCAAGTAAGTCCTTTTATGAATTGCTAATGGGTTGTAGTTCTTAGTGTTAACATTCTATACTTTAAACAATAGCTTTTTAAACATTGTAGGCGATGCCTAAGCTTTTCGTAGGAAAGATACACAGACTTGCAGAGTCTATACTGTGAAGATCTTGTTGATGTACCAAAGTTATATTTAAACTTGTCGCATGAGGCTCTGTGACCTACTCTACGTTAAATGTTGGGTGTGTTTTTGGTTTAAGTGCTCCCATTGGTTGTATTGCTATAGTTACCTGAGATAATGTCTAAAACAGCAGCCACAACAGCCACTCAATCTCTTGACAAACAGCTGTATTTAGACCAAAACAATTGCAATTTTAAAGACTCCTGCTTTTATAAATATTTTCAAGTCTTTAGGGTGGATAGGTCCTACACTGACTGGAAGTTATTAAACTTCTGGCCATCTGTTCTTTTGTCTTTAAAGGTTTCAACAGCACATACCCTTTCGGGAAAGTAAATTAACTCATTTTCTTCAAGGATTCTTCAGTGGAAAGGGGAAGGTATATATGATAGTCAACATAAGCCAGTGTGCTTCAGCATATGATGAAACGCTCAATGTGCTAAAATTCTCAGCCATTGCACAAAAAGTAAGTGTTGTAGTTTTTGATCCATCAGTACTTATGATTTTCATTTAAAGAGTAGGTTCTCTTCTAAGAATATTAATTTACTGGGATTCTCTGTGCCATGTTGCAACCATCTTTGCCAATTACTCAGATTTTATTTTGTTGCAAAGCTTTTAAAAAAGGCTGTGTTGGGCCTTTTTATTTGCCATGTGGGTATGGGAGCATCTCCTGCTGGAAATCTGTAATTCTTATAAAATGTCCAGCCTAACAAGACACTTGCTATATTGGGAAGAAATTCCTGGAGATATAAGTAAATTTTTCTTCTGTACTAATAACATGCCTTCACCTAGGAGCAATTCTAGCTGCCCCGTATGCTACTGCTATCTTAATTTGGAATATTACTCACCTGAAATGCTGATTAAAATAGATTGAGCACCAAAGAGTTTGAAAGGTTGTCCTCATGACACAGAGGCTTCAGTGGAAAGGTGGAGGATAAGCAGAATGACTAGGAGTAAGTTCAGTGATATAACCCTGACAAAGCTGAAAGACAGCAGTATTTGGAATCAGTGCTGCAGCCTTAATGGAAGACATAGAAAGCTTCTGTTAGCAGTTAAATATTCAAAGAACAATAGATCCAGGCCTTTAGAAAATGAGCTGATCTATGCAGGTTAAATGCAACACCAGAAGGAGCAGACTGTCAGAGAGATGCAGCTGTTGACAAAATAGAATTTGTAGGATGACATTTGCACCTAGAAACTCAAAAGTATAGGAAATATAGAAATCTGTTTGTGCCTGAGGTAACAACCTTCTTGTAGGTTGTTCAGCTAATGAAACTTGGTGTTGCTGGGATCAGAAAAAGGGTTAGACTATAAAGTGGCTTCTTTGTACTCTAGCTGGAAACTGGTCTAAGTAGTGGCTCTAAATGGAAGACAGGCTGGGGGAGTGCTAGGCTCAGGAGACCAATAGGAAAGTGCAACAGGTATATCTTGGAAGTGTCAGTAGAAGTTTAAAAAACTGATGACTTTGTTCTTTATTTTTTGGTTAGGTTTTAGTTATGGACACATCTATTCTTCCCCATGATCAGTCATTTGACCAAAAAACATCACTACTTAATGACACTAAAATGCCACTCCCAAGGAAAAGAGCTACCATCCTATGGGACACGACCTTAGAAGATGTGATTGAAGATGATGATGATGAGATGGAGGAACAGCAGAATCTATCAAGAGAAGAAGCATCCCAGAAACATGAAGAAAATAAAGTTCTTATTGGAAAAGAAGATTATATGGTATGTACCAGGGCTGCTCTAGAAATTAGTGTAGTATGGAGTCTGAAAGCAAGGTATTCTTCTGGTTTCCCCTATATCTTGCTTTTTTCTAGTCACCCTTAATCTAACTAAATCCAGTGTGTAAAGAGTGGTGTCACTCATGGCTTAGTGCCTATTGTGGGAAAACTCTATAGAATGTATTTAAAAACAGACAGAGCAAAAAGAATTGCAGATTTGACTTTCTCTCCTTTGGGTAACCTATGGTCAACAATTAAGTGGTTTATAGCGTTACAGGGGACTGTTCATTTGTGTTGTATGCACAAGAAAACTCTGAAAATCATTGCTGAAGGACCAGCAACTTTAGTGACTTCTAGGTAAGACAAAGAGAAAAAGGAACAGAACTTAAGGACTTTCATGGAGGTTTAAGTAATATTGCCCTGAAAATACACATCTGGAAAACGAGCCAAAGCCTGTTTAAGACAACTTCAAGAATTGTAATAAAATTAATGTTCTTTGCAAATGCCTACTGTTTGTAAACACCTATTGTTTGCAGACTTGAACTGTTGAGCTAATACCAAATATTTTAACCTCTTCATGAATCCTTTTTATGAGTTGGAAAAGTGCAGTTGTAGTGTTAAGAAAGTGTAAACTTGCTTTTGGAAAAGTATTTCTTTATGAAAAACTGAATACTAATTGTCATTATAGAAGCTGCTGACTCTTGTAGAGGACTTGAAGAACAAACTTCTTACTGAAAAGAAGAATAAGTTACTACTGGAACTAAAAATTCGTGAAGAAGTGACACAAGAATTCACCCAATATTTTGCTGAGAGGGAAGCGGATTTTAAGTAAGTTGACTTGTTTTAAAAGTTAGTGGTTAAAAAAATGGAAGTAAATTCACTTTCTGAAGTCTGTGTCTTGGCCTTAAGAGGCTGCATTCTTCTGCTAGCCTTGTTGCCTCTATAAACACATTAGATTCTGTTTGGACAATGAATTCAGGGAAGATATTGTGTAGGAAATGCTTTAATTTTCTGGGAAGTGCATCAGGGTGCATGTGTGTGGGATCTGTAAGTAGCATTTGTTCTTGCAGAGATTTTTTGTTGATGCCTGTAGGAAGAGGGACACTTGCAAGTCTTTGGTTACTGCAGTGTTAGTGGTACTCCAAACAGGCATTCTGGCTGAAGACATTGGGAAAAAATGCTTGTAGTTAAGTGCTGTTGATAATCTGTGTGTATATTTGTTTTCTCCTCATTTTTTAAGGGTATGTGTGGGGAAAATATGCTTCTATTTTTCATCTAGCAACACCATTTTGTCTATCATCCTTTAATTTGAGAGGCACAGAATACTGGAACAGGCTTCCCTCAGAGCTTGTGGAGTGTCCTTTGCTGGAGACATTCAAAACCCACCTGGATGCCTTCCTGTGTGATGTACTTTAGGTGATCCTGTTCTGGCAATGGGGGTTGGACTAGATGATCTTCCGAGGTCCCTTCTAGCCCCTAAGAGTCTGATTCTATTGTGCCAAAATAATGAAAAATCTTTTTTATAGATAGCTTATATAAATATATGCATTGCAGCTCATACTAGCTAGGCTTTAGCTGACTTATTTTTCCTGCTGTAGAGAGTGCCTTTCTCATGAACGAGAACGACTTAAAGAAGATTCTGAAAAACGTCTGGAAATTTTCAAGGAACTCGTAAATGGTTGTACTAACAATCCACATGAAGAAAATAAATTGAAGGATCAGCCTTGCAGTGAACAAGCTAAACCTCTGGTATTTGATTCCCTCCCCCATGCCAATAACATCTCTTTTGCTAACAACTTTTTGTAATGATGATGTATCTCAAGGATCACTAGAATAGTTTCAAGGAATTGCATGCTATGTAACTGTATCCTTAGTGAGTTAGATTTATCCTATTTAATAGGAGCAGTTACTGAGCCTTGGATGTGCTTTTAGGAATCTTTTTTTTCCTGTTTCTGCCACACACATTGGAAATTACTGTATACACAAATTAGGGGAAAAGCTGCCATTATGGTATCAAATCTACTGCATTAAGTATTTGAAGCTAACTTTTTAGGCCCCGCATATGGATTCTGTACCCTTTGTTTTTAAAAAGCAAAGAGGAAAGATATAAAATTTTTTGAGTACAACTTAATTTGGTAAATTACAAAAAACTTATTTCACCTCACAAATTTTTACTGCTATATTAAATTCCAAATGTATTCTTTCTAAAACTGTTTGCTGTGTCTTCAATGTTTTTATTGGGTAAAATAATGAGGTTCTATATTAAATTTGGACGGGGTGCTTTTTTTGGTGATATAAAAAGGATGTGAGGGTGGATCATTAAATACTATAAAGTAGCTATTACTGGCACTAGAGACTTGCATGTGAAGGTAGGCAGAAAAAGATAAGCAAATTGCATATGAACACACGATTGGTTTGATGCCAGAATTAACTGTACTTACATTTTTTAATTCGTAATGATCTGTCTTCCAAATTTACTGTAGAAATAATGCCCATTGTGCAATTATTTGCCATTTCTAAAAGATACAAATTATTTTTCAGGATGAAGAATACAGAATAGGGCCAGGCACTTACATTGATCTTGAGGGCATTATTGATTCTTTGCAGAATGATGTCATTGATATAAAAAAGCAGGCAGCTGAAGCACACAAATACATAGTGTCCCTTGAGGACCCACAGGAAGCTATAGGTTGGCTTGAAGAACAACTGGGAAAAATTACTGCTGAACTGACTAAGACCAAAGAAGAGCTGACAAAGAAAACCAATGAACTAATCAAAACTGAAGAAGAGCTGACACAGAAAACTAAAGGTGAGCTGGATGTAAGTGTGATGTGAAAGGCAGAAAAGAGAAATAACTGACTACTGTAAAATAGAAATAATCCAGTTGAGCAGGATTTTGGGACCGATTCGTATATATAGAGGTGATAACCATTTCTTTTGTGTTCAGATTGAACAATTCCATAGACCTTGGTTGTTTAATTTTTAAGACAAAAATTAAGCTGGCTATTGCAGCCTTCTGAATTGTGCGGTAAAATGTAAGTGTTATTAAGTCTTAATTTCATGGCTATATTGTAATACCTGCAATTATTTACATTTTGCTGATGCAATGTTTTCAGGTATCCTGTGGAACATTTATAAAGGAAAAAGTAGCAATACCTCCTACCTCAATCATTTGATCTGATGTATATTTTATATGGGTTGCAAGGCTCAATTCTATTCAAAAAACTTAAACAACTTTTCAAATGTGTCTTAAGTAGAAGTCAACAACAAAATAAATCGATTTGTTACGCTACTGAGGTACCAGAACATAAAAAAATGGACTACTGAGTAAACTATAATGGCTGCTTATTTGATGCAGGCTTCTTTTCCTGTTACAGACTTTGAAATGCAGATGATTCAATTGGATGAGTCTGCTGAGCAGCTTAAAGAAGCAACCAAGGTAACCTTCTCAAGAAAAAACTTGTGCAAAATTACTTGCTTTAATGCAAAATTCTAGTAGCTTAAAATGCTCGTGTATTATGCTTCTACCTTTTTATATCAAGTCTAGCTTACCTGGTCTGACTTCTGAATGCATGTTATAGTTCAACAACTGAATACTGATGACTGAACTATTTATTTTTTTTTCAAGAAAATGAATACACAGAATAAGAGGATTCAAGAGTTAATGGACATTGTGGAGCAAAAAGATGATGTTATTACAAAACTACAAGATTTGATATCCTGTTTAGAAGAAACAATAAAAGACTATGTAAGTCATAGGCATCTCAAATTTTTAATACAAAAATTTAGATCTGTGCTTATAATGGATGTAATTATTTTAGGAAATTGAAGTTTTCTGTAATGGCTACTTGCTTGAAATGGTAGCAGGTGAGCTGGCATTGAAACTGAAGTTACAGCAAAATGTGTATGTGGGTGTGTGAAAAATGGGACCTCTAGAAGCAGTGGAGTTATTGAAGGACTTTAGATGAGACTGAAGAACCACTGAAGAAAAAATTAAAACCTCAAATGGGGAGGACTTAAGCAGTGTCTCTATCTTTGGCTGAATGGAAGAGAAAGAAAAGGAGGTTTTGCTGCAGCAAAAGGTCAGATTTAATTAAAGTAAGAAGCTAATGTGAGAGCGACAGTGATTGTGTAAACTGGCAACAACAAAAATCAGTGTGTTCCACTCACCACCACAGTGCACACACTTTTCAAAGAAAAGCAATAATAACATATTGAGCAGAGATTGAACTGAGTGGATATCCAGAGTGTCTGTGCTTGCAATGTCACTTTTTAACTTGCAGCTGTCTAGACTACTACTAGTTGTTGAATGCCAAGAGACTAGCTTGGCTAAATGTATGCTGCTAAAAACAAAACAAAACCAACAACAACAAAAAACCAAACATACAAAACAAAAACAAACAAAAAACCACGCAGTTAGGTTTTTTTGAGCCTGATTTCCAGTAACCAGAAATAGTTCTGAGAACATGTTAAATCTCTGATCCATTTCTCTCTTCCAGTGTAAAGTTAAGGCTTTGACTATACTTCATCTTCTGTTGTCTCTCTGCCCCACAGCAACTGGGCTTTTCAATAATATGAATTCTCAGAGTGACAAGAATTGTCATGACTGCTTCCTATTACTACTCCTTCCAAGAGCAAGGCTCCAGTCCTGTCCAGTATTTGAGCTTGTGGTGAGAAACTTAATACCTCACCACAAACCTCACATCCATTCTATAATAATTCTTTTTAATTATTACTTAAAGATGAGTAATTTGTCCTTGGCAACCAATGTGGCTTGCCACTTGTCATCTTGCAAGTAAAGTATTCTTAGTCAAATATATGGTCTAAAATGTGTAACATAGCTGACTAAGCTTTCAAATTTCATCAAATCAGTCATAAAAAAAATGATCTGTGGCTTTGCTGAAGGTGATTAAAACTCCCAAGTCTACCAATTGACAAAGCTCTATTTTAATTTCTATTTTCAGATGGTAAGCAAACTCCTCTTACTTTTAAGTTTTGCTTTTTGTAGCTTTGTAGTCTCTTGCTCTGCTTTCTGTACAGTGCAAATCATTGTGCGTAGTAGAATCTGAAAGCATATCTGCTTTTGGTTTAATTCATCTGTAACTGACTTCCTCTGACAATCCCTGTACATATTATGTGAATAGCTTTGTAAAAATATCTGCGTATAAAAGGTTACAAAATTTTAAGGGTGCACTTTGTGTAACTTCAAAGAAATAATTCTTATTTTAACACAGGAAAACACTGTGTCTACCATCAAAAGAGAATTGGCAGGAAAGATATCTAATGACATGATCAAAACAAGCCAATTCAAAGCTTGTGAGGATATTGTATTGGAAGTTGGAAGAAAACGTTGCTTTGAAAATGAGCCTACTGTGGAAGAGCCACCTACAAAGAAAGGTACCATTTCTACCATCACTCAACAGGGGGTCGCTATTCCAGAACAGAAGCAAAAAGTTGTGAAGCGTAAATGTTACGCTATGAGAAGGAAATCTGTTATGTTAAACTGTAAATGGAAGTAACTGTTATGTAAATATCTGCCTTGTAGAAAGTCCTATACTGTTCATTCCTAACTGCTTAAAATAAAAGATAGTTTCTTAGACCCTTTCCTTTCTATTGCTTTTTCTCATCTGTCAATGCACCTGCAGGCTTGGATATAGCTCTTAAGCGATTTCTTATAACTTGTCTTTGTACTGAACTTGCTATTGCTAGACTTCTGGGAAAGTGGTATCACCCCATCAAATTCTTAGAGTTGTTTAAGCAAACATCAAAGGTGTCAATGACTTACTGATGGTTCAGTCATACAGTATGTGCTGTGAAACCTGATGTTTCACTCTGTATGCATGCTGTGAGCACACTGGCTCTGGGCAAGGTGACATTGCTGGCAAAGGAGAAAAGCAAGCATTCTACTTGAATGTCAGTAAAATTATTTTAAGTCCACAAATAGCATATTTTGTGCAGCTCTCATGTTTTCACTTCCAATTTTTTTTTTGTTTTCCTTACTTCATCTGTGAGCTTTACAGCTCTTTTTAGAATGAGGTGAATAAACTAGATGCAGTTGAAGCCCTTCAAGGATAAGGGGGGAAGTTGAAAGGACATCACTACATATGTTATCCATTTCATTAAAATCTGTAAATCAGTGAGATTGAGCTAAGTGAGACTGCAAAATGGTATTTGTAAGAGCTGCCTGCCTTTAACTTCAGGTTACAGTTGGGCTTCAGTTACTTACAGAACTATGGACAACATGCAGAAGGAGAATGAAAGGTCTTAATTTGTGTCCTTTGGTTGCATTCCTCTTGCAGAATAGGTATGAGTAAGAAAATCTGCCAGGCATTATTTGGGTGAGGCTGAGATAGGAAAAGAAAAAAAGATTAAAAATGGGAAGCAGAAAATCTCTACATAAAAGATGATAAAATCTCATAAAAGGAGATTTGTCAAAGTCACATGATCACAGAAAACTGAGGACACAGATGGTGAATAAGCTGAATGCTGGACTATTGTTCATCCCATTCTGCAGCCAAAGAACAAGGGAAAACTCAGTCTAGTAGATTAGCAGCTTAAGTGTATGGAACAAAGCACTTCCTGCAGTGGGTTGTGACCTTCTAATTTTTGCTGTTCCAGAAGGTGGGAGAGACAGAAAATTCTCAAATTCCAGACAAGATAACAGCCAACTGCGTACATAGATACTGAAAGGCTTAAGCAGAGATGTATGGTCTCATTTCTCTAGCATTCACAATTGTTGAATGTTAGGAAAGGTTTATGGGAAGTGACTGGGCCTACCAAGAGCAGCAAAAGGAGAAAATATAAGTTGGGGTCAACTGATGCTGTGTGATCCAGTAGGGCATTTCTGATGTTCGTACAACTTGTTCAAGTAAGTGTAGTTTTCCTAAGAGAAGCTTCTGTATCAGGCGCATCTCTGATTTGTCACTGCCATCTTTGGGATGAATATTGGATCCTAGTGTGACCATTTGATGGTGCCACCTATACAAATATTACAGGAAGGGCATGGAAAATTAAGCTGGTAGTTACAGGTTTGCTGTAGTCTCATGATGAAGCTTGCTTAAACAAAAAATAGAGAAATTGATAGCTCTTCTCAAAAGTGGATACTGGTGCCAATGTCAGCACTGAGACCTTTCTGTTGGCAGGAGCTGGCTATTCAATCATGTTAAATACATTTCTGAATTGAATATACATTGAGAATGTTGAGAATATAAGGTGTTGAGAATATAAGGCATCTGATGTAAAATCTGACTTGATAGTTGCTCCATAATGATGACGCTTATTAAATATATATGCTTGCATTTAAGCATTCTTGTTAGATATACTTGTCACAGTAGATCACTGAGCACAGCTATGTTGTGATAGCCTGCTTGTAGACTTTAGATGTGCTAGTGGCCAAAGTTTAGGAGAAGATAATTATCTTGAAGTTCAGGGGTTTGTACTCTTCTCTAGGACTTGCCTCCCATGTCTTGAGTGGGGCTTTTTCTTTCTTAGTACTTTCTACATAAAAAGCTTCTTGACTGATTAGTATGTAACTTCTTGCACTATATTTATCCTGCTTTGCTGCATGGCTGTTGTTGTTGGTACAAAGCATCTAGATTGCTTCTAAATCTTGTGAATGGTCATGTCCTTCTTACTTGGTGCTGGGCTAAGCTTTGCAGCTTTTTCTTCTTACCACCTTAGATCACACAATGTGTCTAAGACACCGCTACCTTTTGTCAAGTTCATAAAAGTCATGTCCAATGTGAGGAATACATAGTATTTTGTCTGTCTTCTTGGGACTACACAACTGTGCTTTCTGTTCCAAAATTTTTGATGTTGCAGAATTGGAGACTTGGCTTTGTAAGCTGAAGTAATACTGCTGTTGTGTCTGATCTAGCAGGAGCACTTGGTATGTCTAATTAGAGCAGAAAAGAAAAGGTAGAGAAAAATAGAAGGAATTTGATCACTCTAAAAATAATAAAAACTGAATTAAGATTAAAGCCCTATTACTAATGTTTCAGTATGGCTTTGTTAGTGACTTAAAGTTAGTGACTCTGTAACTTGCTGGATCTATTTCAAGGATGTTTCTATGCATGGTACACACGTACCCATGTGCTTTACACTTCTCAAGTGCAGTGACTGCTGAAGTCCGTCTTGCTGTGGTTACAGTACTCACAAGAATCTGTAGTGCCTAGCTGTGAAGACCTAATCCTTAGAAATAGTCAGGCTTGATTTTAATAGTAAAGCATTGCATGCAGGTTAATAGCTAGACACAACTGGGCTCTAAAACACTTGTGAAAAAAAGCTGAAATAAATTTTGAAGGTGCTGAAATGCATGTAATTTTAGTTAGAATTGCTCATTATGTGGGGAAGAACCAGTCTTAAACTAATAAAATATTTATGGAAATGTGAGATTGATATAATGTTGGAAATCTTTCTGGGACAAGTTTACATGCAGCAGATTAGGTGCGGGAATAGTTATTTTTATATCTAGTTTAGAAACAAATTTAAAAAGGGAAGAAGGTCCCAAAAACTAAGTGCAAAATTTATGCTTGATTTTTACCTTGATTTTTAAAGAGGATATTCAGTATAAGTGAAGATTCTCAGAAAAGTATAGGATACCATTGCTCTTCTAAATGTAGAATGGAGAATTGCTGGTTGTATTAAAGGGATTCTTGAATGAGTGAAGGTGTAAGCTAGATATAACTGAATGTTGCTCATGCAGCTCATAGGTGTTAGTACTATGTATTATTAAAAGTAGCTAGATCTTTATACTAGTGGTGCAGATTAGAAGGCTGGAATAGGCTAAGTGTTCTTTGAGGTCCCTGAACACCTCTTGCTGCAAACTATGTCTAGAAGCCTAAAAGGTAACTACCTATTGCATGTTAAACCGTTCAGAGTACTTTTAACTATTTCAAAAATTCAAAATGGCATATGATATAAAGGTGCGACTTTCACATAGTAATTGGTATTTGGTGTTGCTTGTGACTTGTATTATTGATTTTAATCAATCTGAACTGTATGGGTATTTTTTAGGAGATATGAAGGACAGTTGGGAAGATGACTCTCTAATGCAAAAGGGAAATGAATACCTGAAAACAAATACTTCTGATAACTATGCAGAAGTATTAGCACTGAAAAAAAGAACTGAAACCTTGGAAGGTCAGCTGACTGCACTTGAGGAGCAATGCAGAAGAGAAAAAAATGAAAAAGAAGAGTTCTGTAGGCAGATAACAGACTTGCATCTCAAGCTCTCTGCTTCTGAGGAAAGGGCTTCTGGCTTAAGTGAAGAGCTTCAGCAATGTCAAGCTGACTATCAGGAGATTATTTCTGAATTAGGCAAACAGAAAACTATAAATAGGGAACAAGAAGAAAAGATAATTCAGCTCAATAATGAAGTAGAAGGTGCCAAACAAAATATAATTGATAAAGTGTCACAAATTAAAACAATGCATTCCAAAGTGGATCAGTTGTATAAATGCCACTTAGAATCTTATGCTATGGATACTGATTTAGTTAATCTTAAGGATTCCCTTGACCCTCAAAACAATAAACCAGAGAGAGCTCAAATGAGTCCTGTATGCATGCAATCCCAAACTGCCTCTATAGCAGATCTGAGACGAGAGAGCTCCTTTCACTGCAGTGTTGAAAGCATTTGGGAAGAATGCAAAAATATCATTAAGGCTTCTTCAGAGAAAAGTCAGCGGATTCAAGAACTACTTCAACAAGTTGAAGACTTAAAGAAGGGGCTTGATGGCTCTGAGAATTATAATAATCAACTTAAAATAAAATTAAATGAGATTGCAAATGAAGATTGTCAGTCTGTAAAGGAAAAAGATCTTATGATTAAGCAGTTACAAGAGCAAATCCAGAAGAAAACTCAAGATTTTGAAAAACAGGCTGCAGAAGATCACAGAATAATTGCTCAGTTTGAGGAGGAAGTAACCAGCTACAAGGGAAAAATAAGAGAGCTTGAATGCCTCTTGGAGGCTTTTAGAGCTAAAGATGACAGCATAACAGAGCTAGAAGTAGTACTTAAAGAAAAAGAATCTATTATTTTAAAACTAGAAAGTAATACAGTAGCTCTGCAAGAAAAATGTACCAGTTCGGACAAAAAGCTGAAAGAATTAACTTACCAAGAAGCAAATCTGAAGGAGGAAGTTGTGCAGTTGGTTAACAGCTTGGAAAACATGAAGTGCTGCATTCAGGAAAGTGAGAAAAAAGAGGAGGAGCAATTGCAATCTATAGAATTGTAAGTAAATCATGAGAACTTGAGTCTACTCTTTAAAGAATGAGTTGAAACTACCTTCTGCGACCATCAGTTTATTTTGATGTAATACACTTACATGTTTATCAACTTTATTAACCAAACTGCAGCTTTAAGGAGGTTTAATATACTACTTGGATTATGTATTTGCATATTCTTCTGGTTGCTTTTTCCTCACTTGTTTATATATTATTCCAAAAAATACATCTAAAGTATGTGGAACTATTAAAGAGGGAAGAGGAACATGCAAAGAAATTAAGAGTAAAAAGTAAACAGCAAACAGCTGATTTAGGTAATAGCTATCTTAGGTGAACAGTTTGCTATAAGAACTTGAAGGAATAATGGGTGTAGAACTTCCCCAGCCCCTTCCACTTTTTAAATTTAAAAGAAATAAGACATTAAGTGTATCCAATTATATTTGCTATATGGTAAAGAAAATGCAATAATGTAAAAATACCTCCAAGGTGTTATGTAGCCCTTATCTTAACTAGAGTTTCTTTGGTACTATATCTGTGAGTACCTGCATATATTCTAAAGTACAACTTAGCACGGAAGTCCCCAATCCTGTGCAGGTAAAGCTTGGAAAGATTTTCCTTTTGGGAGACATGGTTTTGTCAATTATAGAATCTAAAAAAAAAATTGTTATTTTTAAAGCTGAAATCCAAGATATCTTACTGTAAACTTTGTCAAATAAATGACCATTTAAAAATCACTTCTTAATTACTTTGTAGCACTTGAAACAGCAGTACTTGTTGCAATGTTACTGATTTTTCTATGTTTTGATTTTGATTTACTTTGATCCTTGCAAAGTGTGGGATGTAGATATGAAGTTTAAAATTACAAAAGGTACAAAGCTGATATGAAGCTACTTTGGAAGGACACCTAATGATAATGCCTCTACTGTGCTTTAAAAATTTTAAAAACTGCAATGTTCAGAAGTGAATCTGAGCAGTTTTGTGTCAAAATTATGAATAGAATCTGAAATCCAAAAGTAAAACTATAAAGCTTGTGATTGATCTGATAGATCTCAGATTCTATTCATTAATAAAACTAGCAGTCAAAGAGCCTGCGTTAATGTGTAAAAGCTCTTTTTTGAGATGCTTAACACTGTTTTCTATGTCTGTCAATTTCTAACACAAGGCTACGTAAAGATCTGTCTGAGAGTTGTACCCTTGTACAGAGCTTGAAAAAAGATTTGCAGAGGAAAGAGGAAGAATATACCGATTTGAAAGACAAATTTTCTGATGCAAAGAAACAAATTCAGCAAGTACAAAAAGAGGTTGGTAACCATAGGCCAAATGTTCCTTCTATAAGTTTATGATTAGGGTTCTGTTATTGAAACCTGTTTTCACAAATCTCAAGCTATGAATGTTTGAAGTTTATAGTAAGGCTATTTTGAGTATGTTTAGCGTAGCAATGAATCTTGTTACATTTTTGTTGAAGCTGACAGCTAAAGAAAGATAAGACCACATGTCAAGCACAGATTAGTTACAGCTATTGAAGGGGTAAAGGAAACTTCATTAATGTATTTTTAAAAGGTTTGTGAAAATGGTGGCTAATTTGGGTATGAAGAAAGATTTTATATTCTTTATGTTGCTATTTGTGCTGACTTTCAAAGCTTCAGACTTGTGGCAAATGCTGAATTCTGGAAGGAAAAGCTGGATTGATCAGAAAAGGAAAGCACTGACTTGTAGAGACTTTCTAAAATCTGAGCTATGTTTTTTCATTACATGTGTGGAGAAGAAATGAAGAAATGAGATAACTTGTTCATTGTTAGTATTTACTTGTCAAGGAGTAGGATTTCCTAGAAACTCATGGGATATTGCACAAATGTGGAATCTGAAAGATTATTGCAAGAGTTTTGGGCTTGAAAGTTAAGCCTTCGTTATTAATGTCTTTGTCTAACAGTTGAAGACCTTTTCCTACTCAACATCCAGTGTGTAATCCTGTGTCTCAGAAGTAGAAAGGTGTGGGAAACTGTTCTTTTCTTCCCCACATGAGATCACATGACAAAAACTTTAAATTTTTTTAAAAGGCAACTGAGTTTGTAGCTCAGTTAGGCTATGTCCTGGTGTGAGGTAGAGTTTTTGTGGATTTTGTTTGGTTTTTCCACTGCCAAATGTAATACTTCATGGAGGCAATCCTTCTCTAGGAAGGAAATGCATTGTAGTGCACTTCCAGTCCCTGAAATTGAACTGAGATGCTTGAAAAAATTGACTCTTAAAGAAGGTATCTGATTATTTAGATAACTTGCAGAGGTTATAAAAGGCTTACAGCAAAATGATAGCTTTGATTGCTGTCTTTGTGCATTGCTAAAGGTGTGTACAGTGCAATCTGAGGAGAAATTCCTGAGGAACAAAGTTGATGAACTTGAGAAAATTAAAAATCAGCTTAGCGAAGAATTGGAGATCAAGCAGCGCACAATCCTGCAACTTAAAAAGGTATTTTATTTTTTACGATCTTACTTCTAATTTGTGTAACTAATGCATTAATGAGGTTTGACAAGCAACAGGAGAAAGTTTATAGAAATCGGGGTAAACATAAGAGTAGCCAACTAAAGCTACTGTTAGTGAATGAATGAAAGGTGTTTAAAGAATGTGTTTCTGCAGGACACTGTCAAATTTTTTTCAAGTAAAGTAATCTGCATAGTAATAAATAATACCTGAAGATACCCTGATTCTGATCAGAGACACTTAGATGTGTTAGTAGTAATGCCTTCATCTAAACCTTTTTTTACCAGCTTGAATGTTCCTTTATGTTATATGAAAAAATTACTTATTCTGTACTGTGAGTTTTAAGTGCATTATTCATTACTTGGGAAAGCCCAGAATGAAAAGCTTCTAATTTCTAGCATGTATATTTGTTTCAAAATGCTCAATTTGTTATCAATGTGTGTTTAGGAACTGTTGAATAATGAGAAGCTGGAAGAAATCTCGAAACAGTATGAGAAAACCCAAAAAGGTCAGAAAAAAATCTTCAATGTTTTGGGGTGTGAAATGGCAACATAATCACTTCTCATGTTGTTAATGAATTTGCATATTTATATTTTAAAATACTCCAACCTAAGACATCACGATATTACTGTCAGGAACTAATTTTTATTGAATTATTATTAGCAGGTGTATTTGCAAGCAAAGCAGCAATCTCAGGATAAGCCACAGAGGAAGTGTGGTTTTGCTGTATCACTGTTAACTTATTAAATTTTGGTATTTATTTGCCATTTTAGTTAGCCCTTGTAATAATACATGAACAAGTATAGTAACAGTTTCTGCAGGTTTGATAAATGTTTAGCCAACTGAGCAATGGTCAGTTTCTCATAATACAAACCATAGTCTAACATAAGCACTTATACACTCATCTAAATCAAGTTGATCAGTCACTTAAGAATTTTGGATTTGGATAGTTCAGTATAGATGCTCTATTTCTAACAGAGCTTTTGTTCGTAGGGAATGGAGGAAACTATTTGTCATGAAGACACTTTGGAAGCAAATGGTAGGAACTAGAAGGGGACTTATCTATAAATTTATTTTCAAATCTTCAGATCTGTGTGCAAAGGAAAAAATAATTGAAGATATGCGGATGACATTAGAAGAGCAAGAACAGACTCAGACTGAACAAGATCAAGTGCTTGAAGCCAAGTTAGAAGAGACCAACAGATTAGTTTTGGGTAATCTCTCTATGGGAAGGGAACAGGGAGGCAAAATTGTTTTGTGTATGTTGTGATAGCTGTCTTAAATTTGTTTTTTTTTATTGACTGTTATTTCAGTATTAATTTTGTGTTATGTAACAAATTTCTAATAGTTAAAGGCTTCTGTTTTCCCTTTGTGGTCACAGCTGATAAATCCAAGTAACTTTACTAAAAGGATGTGAATGTGGTCAAACATGCATTTCAAACTCTACAGTATGTAACCTTATTTTGTTTACTGACTAGAACTGGAAGCATGGAAACAGAAATATGAAGAACTAAATAAACAGGGTGATAGTGACTGGCAGCAAAAGATGAACAAAAATGAGGAGAAAAACATAAATGAAAATGAAGAAATAATGAAGTTGCAAAAAGAACTGGAGGTAAAATATGGTGGTGTAATTGTACTTTATTTTAAAGCTGTAACTTCTGTTTTGGAGTTTACCGTTTTTGTGCCACTATCTTCAAGAGTTAGGGCACAGTATGGCAAGTTGTTAAACTGGTAATGGAAACATGCTCTAAAAGCTGCAGTGCACCAGTGCAGCTAAGTCTGGATGCAGCGTCTTTGTAGCATACAGCATCACTGCTGCATAATGGAGTGCATGCTATGCTACGTTTGGCTATCATGAACATTGCTACTGTAGCTGGGCTCATCTTACAGTTGTTTTAAGCAATCCAACTCCCAATATTCTTTCCAAACTTATTTCCTGTCATTTCCTTAGTCAACTAAACCCAATTCTTTCAACATCTTGTGCTTGCTATATGACCTGTAAGCCCTTCTGTTAGTCTAAGGACTTGCCTCTAATTCTACCTGGATTAGAAAGAAGACTTTTTTTCCAAGCAGCTTTTCAGGTGCCTTCTGTCTTGATGTGGGAGAATGTCTGACAAGAGTTTTCATTGTGATACAAAAGGAGGCAAAGTTGCTCTGGGTTGAAGTGATGTTTGTGGGTACACACTCTCTGCCTGCCATTCAAATTGTACTGCGTTCTTTGATGTTCAGTCATGAAGTTTTCTAGAAAATCCTGTAAGACAGCATGAAAGTGGGAATTTGTAAGTTAAGGATCTCTTTACCATTACTTTTGGTGTAACTTCAATAGTGTTAGTGACTTACCGAGAGTATTTTTAGAGGGTGGGGAGGAAATCTATTTCATTAAAACATGCCAGTCTGAATAAGAAGTGCTGAAAATTCTTAATTTTTTCTATATATAAGAAAAAATGAGAATGTAATACTTGGCTTTTGTATTATGCTGGAGTAAAACTGCTAGTATTTCTATTATCTTCTCAAAACAAATCTATTTAATGGTAATCTAGATTTTTTTGAAGTTGTTTGGTTGTTTTTGTTTTGTTTGTCCTTTTTTTGCTTAATGTCTACCAATGGTTTTATTTCTGGTTTCATTAATATAGGAAAATGAGGCAAAGTATCAAATTGATAGAAAGAAGTGGCTGGAGGCAAAAACAGGTCTTATACATCAAGTAAAAGAAGCTGAGAGCCATCGCAACAGAGAAATGAGAAAATTTGTGGAGGACAGAGAGCGTCATGTAAAGCAACAAGAAGAAATTGTAAGTATCTGGACATCTCTGCAGACTGCTCTTAGTGTAATTCTTCGGTACAGAGCAACTCATGTCAGTTAAGTGTGGGTGTTTGAGGGTAACTGGCCTCAGATAAAGTCCCCTTACTTCATCACATGGCAAAGCTTAGATGAGATCTCAGTATGAAAAAGGAGCTATAGGAGGGTCACAACATGAATAGGCACAGCACATAAGAGGACTTAACATGTCTGTTCCTTCCTATCCTGTTGCCATCACCACCTTACTATGAATTTTTCAAACTTCATCTTTTGTGTAAAACACCAATAAATAACCCTCACTGAAATGAATTGCTACTTAATGAAGCTAAGAAAACATACTTTGCAAAATAATATGTATTGCTTGGCTTTTAAAAAACAAACAAACATGAGCCTTTAGAAGGAAGAGAAGAAGCAAGAAGTTGATTAAAAAAAGCTTTCTTGGTCAAAAAGGCGAGAAGCTGATTAAAAAAAGCTTTCTTGGTCAAAAAGGCAGTGCCTTTGCTCTCATATTGCTTTCCAAGTAGTGTTACTGTTAACATGGTGGATACCTTCCTTGCCTCTTCAGGGGACTGTGTCAAGGCTGTTAATTCTTAAGCATATACAATTATCATGAATCTGTATAATCTAAAAGTGTATTTGCATCTAGAAGTCATAATGACTTTCTGGACCTGCAGTTGGTATAGGAGGATGTTAGGAGCTAAGGACTACTTTCACTTTGTTTGTGACTTTGCTTGCTTGACACTTTTATTAATAAAAATACAAAATAAGCAAATCAGAGTGGCACTTAAAAAAACTTCACAGAGTATAATTGTAGATACAGATTTTCTAATAAGTATGGTTTGCTTTTGCGTATTTGTAATTCAACTAGTTTTATGGGAGTTTAAGATCTACATAGGCTCTCAAGTTGACTAAGGCCATGAAATAGTGCTAACTATGCAAAACAAAACAATCAGAACAGTTCAGGTAGTGTAAAAATGGTGTTTAATTCTAACCTAATTTTTCCCCATTTAGGAAAGGCTTGGTGCACAGCTTTTGGAAAAGGACAGTGACCTTCATAAGTGGCGTGAAGAAAGAGATAAATTAGTAGAAGCTTTGGAAGTACAGCTCAGGACTTTGGCTTCTAACACCATACAAAAAGATAAAGAAATAGCAGAACTGAAACAGGCTGTGCTAGAGAACTCAGAAAAGGTCATCTCTGTTCCTGTGGGACTTTTATTTATTTATTTTTTTAGATCTATTTATTCTGCAAAATACTATACTTGCTCTTTGCATTTTGGCTCTATTTTTTGTTCTTAAGCACTGTCATATTGAAACAATGTGCAGCTAATTTAAAAAAAACACCTGATTTTTTTGAAACTGAACTTGTAACAGTAACTGAAGTTTCAAAGTACTAAGTAATTCAAATATTCATCTATTTGATCCATTGATTACAAAGTTGAACTGGAAATATTAAACTATTACGTTTGCTTCATTGCTCACATCACCAAAGTCTGAATAAACAAATGGGAGGTGAACTACATAAGTAGTAGATAAGTATTCTACGTAAGTAGGGTGAAATAAAGTTTACATTGTTTTCCCAGACTGCTATGACATTTCTTCACTTTAAATACTAGCCACTCATTCTTGAAGTTATTGGCTTTTTGTAGAACAGCAGTTTGTTTTAGCCTGTTCTTTTAAAACTGATGTTCATAAGTAATCATAGTGATGCTTGTGTATATGTTAATTTCTTTTTCTAGTCCTGCAGTTTGTGAACAACTTTTGCTATGTTTATTAGGATAAGGAAACTCTTATTGAAGAGCTAAGAAAACAGCTGGCTGAGAAAGATGACTTAATAAAGGAATTGAAACAACACATTAACCAAGAAAGTCTTCATTTGGCAGAAGTACCTGAAGAACAAGATAAAATACATCAGCCTATAAACAAAGAGGTATGTTTGCTATGTTTATAGTAAAGTATGTACTAATGATATGTTGTTAGTAACTTTTGTTGCGTTCTCAGTATATATTTTGGCAATACTAGAAATCTCCCATAAGTTACTTTTTATAGTTCTTTGTACTTTACTATATCTTTAGTCCCGAGATCTTGTTCATTTTTTCTCTTCCTCTTTTGTGCTTACAGAAAAAAAAAGTACTTGAGTTAAGAGAATGCCATTTCTCTATAGATTATATAACTTATGTACCTGAGGCAAAAACTAGTTAACTAGTCCAGGTTCTTGAGATTTGAAGACACATTTGTAGTACCATCTCAGTTTGGTTATGTCAGTGTTATGGGGATATTTCAGCTTAACTTTCCTGGTATTGCCTATAGTGGTAATAGAGATGGTTCTGTAATTCGAGCTTCCAGCCCATGTAGAAGTTCCCAAGAGTAAAAGTTAATGCCAAAACAAAATTAGAAGCTTACACAAAAATTATAAACTTTGCTTATTTACTGAAAAAAAAATTTAAACGCATGTAACTATTGAGACTCCTGTTTCTGACTGAAGTCTTGTGTGCTACCTGATCAGTAAGTAATTAGTTCTGCTGAGCAGATCGAATGTATGGCTCCATTGCTAATTAATAATGAGCAGGGCTGAATGCAGATTTCCTAGTAGTTTCTAGCCTGGCTGCAAGATCATGTGTCAGATTTCCAAAATGCATCTTTCCTGTCTTGCCAGATAAGACTGGCTAGTTGTTGGTACTTCATCTGTTCAGCTAGTGCTCTATAGATAAAGCTTGTGATGTATGAGGGAGGACAGAACAGTTCTCGGAAGGCTTACTGCTTTATAAACCTTAGTAATAGAAGCTGAGTGCCCCACAGAATTACTTATATTTGCTAAAATATTACTTATAGAGAAGAATTGTGAGCATCTGGTGCTGAAGTATTTACCTTAAGCCAGTAACAAGAATACTTGATGTTATGAATACAGAGAGGCTGTTAACAGGATTATCATGTGAGAAACAGTTATGGTGTTGTGGAAGTGAACAGGGTAAGGTTTTGTGGTCAGAGGCAAATAATTCTTGGGAAAGACCTACTGGAAATAAAACAAATTTAAATGATCAAGGCGATATGTGTCTCCTGCCTTGAGAGGAGAGGCTAAGAAGCTGGCACTCTGATTAGGAGAGGTTAAGGCAATCAGAGGATTATGGGGCTGAAGCTGTAAGCAGGTACAAGATAAGGTCTTCAGCTTGTGGGTTATGGTGCTGCCTGAATGCCTGCTGTTCCTCCAGACAACAGATGTGACGTAAAAGTCTCATAGGTTGAATTCGGCTTGTAGCTTGCCAGATGGACCTTGTCACTTATAGTTAACTTCAGTGTAGAAGGGAAAGGGAAAGCTCCCTAAAGATAAGCTAGAGAAAGGTTATACTTTTCTCTCAAAAGCTCCTATTGCTACCTATTCCCTAAGGAGCAGTAGAGTTGACATGAAGAAAATCATGTCAATTCTACTCCTGCTAGCTGTGAAAAACATGACCAGCTGGCTCTGCACTTGAGGAAAGTGACTTGGAAGCAGTTTGAGGCTGTGTTCAGCAAGGAAAACTAAGTTCTGTGATCACAGGACAGCATATAGCAATGTTAGCTTTTTAAAAATTAACACAAGTTTTAGAAAGTAAGTTAAACTCTGCTATAGTTGAAGTAGAATTCTTCACTTCCACTATAAGAGCTCTGAAATCTAACATCTGAAAAATTGAATGCTTACTTTGCAATACACTGGGGAGGCATATGTATTACAGTTTTTTTAACTTGTAGATGTTATAACAATTGTTTCCTTAAAATTTCCATATGCTTGCAGGACCATTCAGAGATTGTCCTCGACTCCTTTGAAGTGTCCACAGAAAATGGAAAAAGTAGTCGGTTCCCAAAACCAGAGATGGAAATCCAGTTCACACCTCTGCAACCCAATAAAATGGAGGTGAGGCACCAGGGCAGCACCTCACCAGTCACAGTTAAAATACTCAAGCAAAGAAAGAAAAGGAAGAGTGAAGAGATGGATGAGGTATGACCTAGACCAACTGACAAAATATGTTGTGCAGTTTTTCAATATACTCTGTTCATTTGTTAAAATCCTGTTTTTCTATTTTCGCTGAAGTGGTAAAGATACACCTAGAGTATATTTAAACCTTGCTTCCTCCCTGCCATCCTCTGACAAGTGGTGGATCTCTGGCCTGTGTTGAATTAGGTCATAGGCTGCAATTTATCCAGATTTTGGGCCCTTATCCCTCACCTGTGCTTTACTTTTTACTTTTTTGTCTCCATGCTGGTACCATTTGCTTCTCTCTCTATCTGTGGGATTACAGAGCAGTTCTATAGAATTGCTTCTTTTGGTTTAGGCAATCAGTTATATCAATTATGATATCTTCTAATATGCAGTTACAAGTCAACCCCCTGGGCTTAATCAATGCATTTCAGCATTTCAATTATATTTTCTCTTTATTTCTCCAGGCTATGTTGGAGGGACTATGCTGAACTAATGGTGCCAGCACCTCTAACTCCTTGTTCTCTGTAGACCTTATTTCCTCTTTAATTCTTTCAGTTGTATTGTTTAATTCTCCTGCTTTGCTAAAGTGCTGTGTTTTTTACATGTCAGACTTAAGTTCCACAGCAGTTAAAGGTAGTAAAAATCTTCACTTCTCTCACCTGAACTGCATATTCCTTCTGCCGTTTATTTGCATCAGCACCAATTTACAAAGACTATGAAATCCTAAGATCACATTGTGGTGCTGCTTGTGTGTTATCCTACTTGTAGAGCTTATGAATCTCTATACTTCTAAGGACTCTTGAAGCTAACAGTTGAGTATGAGGGAGATGAACTGTGCATGATTTGGCTAGGTGGTAAGTGGTCTCTTTCAGTGAATAAACTTGCTTCAGCTGGAGAGTGAAATACCTGATGACTGACAGCACTAAATCTAAGCACGGAGGAGAGAGATGGTGCTAGAATACCCACAGATTATTAATCTCAAATTTAAAAATAATAAAACAGAAAAAATCCTTGTTTTTTTAGAAACAAAGTCAGATCTTTTGCAGAGACTCCCTTCTAATTAAACAAAGAAGAAAATTCTCTTTTCTCACATGTTATCAATCTATATGGCTATCAATTATCTGAAGTCTTTTGACACCACTTCATGAGATAGATGTCTTCCAATGACAGTTTAACGATGGTACTATGCTGTCAAACTGTTTTTATAGTTGTCAAAGTCTGAATTTAGAGTTAAAATGATTGAGTTAACTTCAATTTGTGTGTTTACTTGTCAGTGTCTTAAAGCCAAAAGTACAGGAAATAATGGAGAGAAAAAGAAAATAATTGTCAGAATAGTTTGTCTATGGGTATTTCTAGTTCTTTTACAAGTTTTAGTGTTTAAATAGTTACCTCTATGCAGTGTTAGCTGATGTCTCTCTACTATTACAGCATTTAAACCATGGCTGCTTCTATAATATACAGTATAGATGTTCTATACAGTAATTGATCTTTACAGAAGAATCCTAGTTAAAATGTCTCATATTTCTTAGGATTTTGTGAAAACTGAGAACAAGAAAAACACAAAAGCTGCTGTGATTGATTCGCCATCTCCAAGCAACAGGAAAATGGTTTGGTTTTATTCTATTTTTGAAGTTAGTTTGGTCTTTTCTGTAAAGGTGGAACTGTGAGAGGAACAAACATGAAGTAATATCTTATTCCTATCAATGTACTTCAGTAGGATTCTTAAACACTTATGTTGTCTTCCTACTAAATTCTATGAGCAAACCAACAAGGAAGTCTGTATTTGCCAAGAATGTCTACTACCTGCAGTGTACAGTGACTCAAAAGGAAGGATGTTGTATCCTGAATAGTTATGAAGGCCAGTTTGTACGTAGTATTAGCACGTGATGTTATAGGCAATGCCTTTGAAGTAATACTAAGGTTCATGTCATCTCTATGCATGACAATTATATAAAGATGATTTTGGGCCTTAGTAGTAACCTGGGCAGGTTCA